TCTGGGCACAGTGGCACGTGCCTATATTCCCAGATATTTGAGAGGCTGATTGGGGAGAATCACTTGAGTTCAGAAGTGCAAATCCAGCCTGGGCAACATGGAGAGATCCCTACTCTAAAAAATAAAAATAAACCTCAATAAAAATGAAACAATCAATTAATTAGAAATGTAGTAAATGTTTACAATAAGTTAGACATGAAAATAAGTTATTTTCATATGTTGTTTAATTCTCTCAACAGCCTACAAAGTATTAATATTGTACTTATTTTATAGGTGAGAAAATTGAAGGCACAGAGAATCTAGGTAGCTTGCCCCAAATCACAGTTAATCAATGGAGGCTTGGAAACATTAGTTTGACTTAACATATCTCAACTTCTTCACTATGAGACATAGAACTACATATCTGAGGCAGTGATAGAGTGCTTATGTGTGTATACTGAGGCCAAACTATCATGGTTTGAATTCTGGCTCTGCCACATAGGAGCTGTGCATGACTTTGAGCACGTTGTTTAATGTTTCTGTGTTCAATTTCCTCATCTGTAAAATGGGAATGGTATCATCATATAAGGTTCTTTGGCCCTTATATCAGAATTTGATGATTTTTCCTCTTACAGTTACTGTTGCTCTTCTCTCTCTCTTCCTGAAGGGACTGAGGTCAGAGAGCTTGTGTCCATGGTGTGAGAGCATAGAAAGGCATATTGGGACTTGGAATACCATCTAGTATATTGTTCTGGAAAGCCAGTTTGACATGGTGGAAAGAATCTAGGGTTTAAGTCTTAAGTCTGCTACCTATTATATGCTGTGGCCTTACTGAAACTCTTTGAGTCTTGATTTTCTCTTACTCATAATTCATTCTGCATTGAGTGCCTATATTATCTGTCTCACTCTCCCTTATAGTAAGGGAGTATAATCATTTATGTCCAACTCTTTATTCATCAAAAAATGCTTATTGATCATGAACTGTGTTATAAACAGTATTCTAAAAACTCGGGATACAGTCATGGCCAAGATAGAAAAGCCTCTTTCTTGAGGAGTTTACATTCTGCAGAAAGCCTGAGGGTTGCTCGTGAAGACCCGGGTCATGGTCCCATTTGTCCAGACTTGTGTTGTGGAAGTCCCAACCAAACAGCAAGTCCAGCTCGTCATCCCCTCATCCTGGAAGTCGTCAGCTCATGATGAGCTAGCCATTTTGGCACTCTGATCTCCTAAGAACCAACCCTGAACTGCCACCAGGCTTTGCTTATACTATCTGGTCTGGTAGTAACAAGTGTACAGATGCCCAAACCCACTGAGGTTTATAACCATTTTCAAATGTTTTAATTAAAAAGGTTGAGCACTGGATTAACTCCAGAGCCTATTCAGGCTCAATTCCTAAGCTATTAATAATCACTAATATCTAGTGAGTGTAATAATTACTAATATCTAGTGAGTGTTTAGTATGTGCTAGACACTGTACTGATTTACATGTACTAACATCTAATCCTCACAACGATCCTGGGAATAAATATTATTATTATCCTAATTTTAGAAATAAGAAAATAGTGACACTTACAGGTTAAGTAATGTACCAAAGGTCATAGAGTGGTCCTTTGGCCTTTGAAACAAAGCATCCTGATACCAGGCTGTGCTCCTTACCAATGTGTCATACTGTTGTAAAGGAGACGGGACTGAGAAACTCTAAGTCCCCTGTTTGTTTTGTAATTCTGTGACAGTGATCACAAACCTTTTGACAGTCCAGCAAAATTCTGGCCAGAGTTCTCTTTTGTGGACCCAGAAAGCCATAGGTACTAACACTGTAGAGCTCTCTCTCTTACCAAGCTTGGGATAGCATATGCCCTGTGCTTTTGGCATTTTCTGTTTCATTTAGAGGGCAAGGAGGGCAAGGGTCTGAGAAGCCTTGAATGTTGACTTGGACTCCAGGGGTAGTGACAAACCACTGGAGGTTACAGTGCATAGAATTAAAGACACCCTGAATGGTATAATCTGGTTCATTTTACAGAAAACAAAAACTGCTCACAGACACAAGAATCTTCCTCAATGGCCTCTGAGTGGCAGAGCTTGTGAAAGGAAGCTGATTCACTGCTAGTGAACCAGAACTCAGGAAGACCAGTAAGTATCCAGGAAACACCACCACTATCTAGGCCTGTGGTGACGGCGATATTATCATGAATTCCTTCCTGACAGTCAAATGCTTCCGGGCAGAGGCGATAGTTTTCCTAACCCACCCAAATGGATAATGACCCAGGCGTGATGTTCCTCAGGAGAGAAAAAAGTGTGTACGAGGAAAGGAAGAGGATGTCTCCCAATCGTAAACACCGAGATGCGGGCAAGTTGCACCTTAGAAAGAGCAGCCGTGCGCATGACGCACTTCTGGCCTCCAAGCGACCCACGCGTGTGACGCACTTTCGGCCTCCTAGCGCCTCTGGCTAGTAGTGCACTTCTGGCCTCTGTTTTGTGTACGCGCTCAAAGGGGCCAAGGTGCAAGGACTCACGGTTTGGAGGAGCTTGGGTTGGGAGTGAGGCAGCATAGCAGTCCAGACTGGTCCCTTGAGCATAGCTCAAACAAGGAGACAGGGAAGGGCGTCACTGTACAACTGTGGCTGTGTGGGACCTGGGTTTGCTCCTTGGAGGCTGTACAGCTGCAGGCTTTACTGCGCACACACTGGAGTTGGAGAAAGAAGCCCCCAAGGATGGGAAGATGACAGAAATGTCTGCAGATGGCACTGAGGCCAACTAAGAGATGGCCCCACTCTTAGTTGGGGACGGCTTAAGTCTTTAACCAAGGCTGTTACAGTGTCTGTTTCTTTTGAAGAGGCAGATTTGGAAACCTGTGTACAAACAAGTATCATTGTCCCGTAGTCTTTTTTATGTTTTTGTTTGTTTTGTTTTGTTTTTGAGACCAAGTCTTGCTCTTGTCACCCAGGCTGGAGTGCAATGGCACCATCTCTGCTCACTGCAACCTCCGCCTCCCGGGTTCAAGTGATTCTCCTGCCTCAGCCTCCCGAGTAGCTGGGATTACAGGTGCCTGCCACCACACCCGGCATAAGCCACTGCACCCGTCTAATTTTTTGTATTTTTAGTAGAGTTGGGGTTTCACCATGGTAGCCAGGATGGTCTCGATCTCCTGACCTTGTGATCTGCCCACCTCGGCCTCCCAAAGTGCTGGGATTAGAGGCGTGAGCCACCACGCCCGGCCACAAGATACTCTTTAGAAGGGAATCTCTCAACACTTAAAAAAATCTAAGCAAAGGCCGGGCGCAGTGGCTCATGCCTGTAATCCCACCGGCCAGGTGTAGTGGCGGGTGCCTGTAGTCCCTGCTACTTGGGAGGCTGAGGCAGGAGAATGGCGTGAACCCAGGAGGCAGAGCTTGCAGTGAGCCGAGATCACACCACTGCACTCCAGCCTGGGCAACAGAGCGAGACCCCGTCTCAAAAAAAAAAAAAAAAAAAAAAAAGCCATAATCATATACCATACTCTGGGTGTCATGATGTGATAATACTCATAGCTTCAGTTAAAGATAGTGTAGGAGTTAGAGGGAGAGCTGGATAGTTAGGCTGTGAGGTAACCAGAAAGAAAGGTGGTTCCCATTGGAATCTAAGGAATGGTGGAAGCTTGAAAGTAATTATGTTTGATGGTAGAGACTGTGACAGACGTGAGTACGAGTATTGTATTAGTTCGTTATCACAGTGCTATACAGACATACCTGAGACTGGGTAATTTATGGAGAAAAGAGGTTTAATTGGCTAACAGTTCCACGGGCTGTACAGGAGGCATGCGGGGGAGGCCTCAGGATACTTACAATCATGGTGGAAAACAAAGGGGAAGTAGGCACAATCTTCACATGGCCACCAGGAGAGAAATAGCAAAGGAGGAAATGCAACACACTTCAAAACAACCAGTTCACATGAGAACTCACTATCATGAGAACAGCAAGGGGGAAATCCGCCCCCATAATCCAATCACCTACCACTATCCTCCTCCCCCAACACTGAAGATCATAATTCAGCATGAGATTTGCCTGGGGACACGGTGCCAAAACATATCAAGTATACATTTCCTTAGAGGTGATACACTGGCTGGGGAGACATGTTGATGTGAATTAGCTATTATTATTAATAATCTTGAAAACTCTCTGGGAGACTTTCTAGACAAATGAGAGTGGAAATTTTCTTCCTTTCCACTCCCTGCAAAACAAAAACAAGTTATTCCCAACTCTTTTTGTTTTTTATTTTAGTGTTCTCATCTTCTGCCCAAGAATACATTCAATTCTTCACCGAGTTAACACACAAGTTCCCATGTTTCTAAAGCCTAATAAAATTAACAATAAAGACTTGTTTTTGTTTTATATCCAGACTTAATAGTCATTTATGTAATGTAAATATCCAGAATAGGCAAATTTATAAAGTAAGAAAGTGGTTGTCTAGAATTGGGGGAAGAAGAGAGTTGTGTACATGTGTGTCTATTAATTTTCTATTGCTGCTGTAACAAATTGCCTTTAGTGGCTTAAAACAACACTAATTTATCTTAGAGTTTTGGAGGTCGGAAATCCAAAGTGGGTCTCACTAGACTAAGGAGAGAATCTGTTTCCTTGCCTTTTTCATCTTCTGGAGGCCACCTACTTTCCTTGACCCTTGGCCCCTTCCTCCATCTTCAAAGCCAGTGCAGTTGGGCCAAGTCCTTCCTGTGCTGTCATCTTTGTGGTTCTCTTTCAGTTCCCTCTTTCACGTTCAAGAACTCTTGCGATTACTCTGGACCCACCTGAATAATCTAAGATAATCATTTTTTTAAAGACAGGGTCTCGCTTTGTTGCCCAGGCTGGAGTGAAGTGGCTCAATCAAGGCTCACTGCAGCCTTGACCTCCCAGGCTCAAGTGATCCTCCCAACTCAGCTAGTAGCTGGGACTGCAGGCATGTGCCCACACCTGGTCAATTTTTGTTCCTTTTTGGAATTTTTTTTTTTTTTTTTTTGGTAGAGACAAGGTTTTGTCATGTTACCCAGGCTGGTTTGAACTCCCAGGCTCAAGTGATCTGCCCACCTGGGCCTCCCACAGTGCTGGGATTACAGATGTGAGCCACTGTTCCTAGCCCCAAGATAATCTTAAAGTTGGCTGACTAGCAACCTTAGTTCCACCTGCACCTCAATTTCCCTTTGTCATGTAACCTAACATACTCACAGGTTCTAGAGATCAGGACATAGACATTTTTGAGGAGAACAAAACGCCATTCTGCTTACCAGAGGGAAAGTGAACAGTGACTGCTGATGGTTATGCGGTATCCTTTGGGGAGATGAAAATGTCCTGAAATGGATTGTGGTGATGCTTGCACAAGTCTGTGAACATACTGAAACCTACTTAATTTTATACTCTGCATGGATGAATTGTATGGTGTGTGAATTAAATGTTAACAAGGCAGGTGTGTGTGTGTGTTCAGTATTTCTAAAACTAAATTCTTTCCCTTTCTTATCTGAAACCAGCTCCTCTTCTTCAATTCCTGATCTCAGCTAATGGCACCTTCATCTATCAGGTAATCTTAAATTCATGGCCATCACAAATTTCTCTGGCTGCCTTGTATTCAGTCATTTAAAAAAATATCCACCGTTTTCACTTCCTAAATAGTTACTTAATATATCCCTCTTCAGACCTGGTCTTTCTTTCTTTTTTTTTTTTTTTTGGAGATGGAGTTTCGCTCTTATCGCCCAGGCTGGAGTGCAATGGCGCAATCTCAGCTCACTGCAACTTCCACCTCCCAGGTTCAAGCAATTCTCCTGCCTCAGCCTCCGAAGTAGCTGGGATTACAGGCGCCCACCATTACACCTGGCTAATTTTTGTATTTTCAGTAGAGGCAGGATTTCACCACGTTGACCAGGCTGGTCTCGAACTCCTGACCTCAGGTGATCTGCTGGCCTTGGCCTCCCAAAGTGCTGGGACTACAGGCTGAGCCACTGCGCCCAGCCCACTGACCTGGTCTTTCTTAACGTGTCGGGGTCTTTACCTCTAAGGAGGGCAGCTTTTTTGTCCAACTTCCCTTTGGCAATCTGATGACACCTTCAAAACCAAGGAAAATACAATTAAACAGTTTTTTAGAATTTGTGATACAGAAATGTAAGTGCATCTTTACCAACGTGATGAAATGAAATGACAAGACTTAAAGGTGGGCCTCTAACAACAAGAATAATTTCAAATTAGTGACGAGAATAGCCATATTCTGAGATCTGCATCAACTGTAATGTGATATGAAAATATCTGTGATTTCTATCGGTGACAGTCACATGTGCGGCCGATACTCCTGTAGTTTGTTGCCAACATATAACAGAAGAAAATGCTAAATTTCGGTTAGAGATTAGCGAAAACAATGATATACTTTCTTTCCTATTCAAGGTCTCTGAGGATCCCCGGGGGTGAAACTCCTCCTGGGGGGTAAAAGCACACAACCACTGAGAAGAGCGCTGCGGCATCCTAGAGAGGACGCGTGTGAGGCTTGGTGCAAGGCCAACGTAGTGACGCACTTCCGTTCACGGACCGCTTTCTGTTTTTCCTGAGGTGAGTGTTGGGGTTTGTCGCCTAGGAGTCCTTGCTAGGCTCAGGCACTTCACCTGTAGAGAAGGCAGTCGTCTTCGTCCCTGATGCCTCAGTGGAGGGAGACAGGGCGGCCCCTCCAGGTCCCGGCAGCAGAGGCTGCTCGCGGCCCATCCCTGTCTCCGTCTGATGCCTTCGCTCCCCCTTGCCCGCGTCGGCGCCTTGGGAAATGTAGGCTGTGGATATGGGCGGCTGGATTGAAGGGATGCCTGTGTTCTCGACGCCGCCCAAACCCATCTCCTCATTGGGCCACAGCTGCTTGCTGAGCAGCATTGTGCCAGTTGCTGCTCTAGATTCTGGGGATGCAGTGGTGAATGAGGCGGGGCGTCGGCCCCGCCCCCAGGAAGCTTTCCGCCCAATGGGAAAGCCATATATTAATCAAATCTGGTCATTTCACTCCACCTGCCCGTGACTTAGTGCATGTAGATCGAAGACCAAGTTCCTGACCTGCGCAAAGCGTGGCTTTGTCCCTTGTGACTTTTTCAGCAACATCTAGCAGCACACTCTCCCTTGACTGCTACTACAGCCTTCTTGATCCTTGACTTCTAGAACATGATTTTGCGTATGCTGTTATTTTGTAAAGATTTCCTTCATACCTTAGTTAATTTATATTCTTAAGCTTTCCCATCCAGGTTACTTTCCCCTGGCAGTGATAAGTTGTGAGCTTAAAAGTTATTTGAGAGAATTTTGTTTAATGTGTCTTTCCTTTAGACTAAGCTCTGTGCGGGACGGGGTTGTGCCCCTTCTCTCTACTTCATCTCTTGTGTGTCACACGTGGCCTTGTATGAAATATGTATGAGATAAATATTTGTTGAATGAAGAAAGCACAAATCAATATATAATTTCAAACTGGGTTAAGTGGTATATAGGAAAAGGAATACGGCACGAGTGGAGCGTTTAACAAGGGCACCTGACCTGGTCTGTAGAGAGATCATGATGTGAAGATGAAGGGTGGCTAGATTACTGGAGAAAATGGCAGGCGGAGAATCTCAGTTACAATGGTTCTGAGGTTGGAGAAGAGTAGTTCATACAGAAGAAACAGCAGGTATGAAGGTCTTGAGTTAGCATAGAGGAAACAAAGAAGGCCATTGTAACTAAACTAAGGGAAAAGAGGAGGGTAGTACAAGATGAGGCGCTCAGAAAACAGCATCATGCATTGAGTCCCTGTAGGGAAGACAATGGCTTTTTATAGAATATTACTGTTTAGAATACAAAGTGTCTGTAAGAGATGATATAGTTAAAACAACAACCCAGATGTCTTAGTGTGTTGAGGTGGCCCTTCAGGGTCCTTTGGTAATCAGTTTCTGGTTTTCACAGCCCTTGAATGGGGCAGTGAACAAAAAAGATGCCTGCTCCAGGTCCAAGCAAAGGAAGACTTACTCTGAGATTTTTTTCCTGAATTTTCTTGGCCATTCTTGTCTATTATTTTATATTAACCTTAAAATCATTTTGCCAGCTTCTAAAAGCATTCCTGTTAGGATTACTATTGGATAGAATTTAATATAGTTATTAAAGGCATGACTTGATGAGGTGCGGTGCCTCATGCCTGTAATCCCATCACTTTGGGAGACTGAAGTGGGCGGATCGCTTGAGGCCGGTAGTTTGAGGACTAGCCTGGGCAACATGATGAAACCCCGTCTCTACTAAAATTACAAAAATGAGCCAGGTGTGGCAGCACATGCTTGTAATCCCAGCTACTTGGGAGGCTGAGGCAGGAGAATTGCTTGAACCCGGGAGGCAGTGGTTACAGTGAGCTGAGATCGCGCCATGGCACTCCAGCCCAGGTGACAGCAAGACTCTTGTCTCAAAAAACAAACAAAGAAACAAACAAAAACATGACCTTTGAAGCCTGGTAGATCTAGTGTGCGATCTGAGTTCATCCATTCACCAGCTGAGTGATCTTGGTAGAAGAAATTATTCTGTTAGCCTTGTCTTCTCATTTGGGAAAAATTAAAGGTTCAAAAGATTGTTGTGAGGACTAAATAAGAGAATATGTATTTTTCATCCAAAAACATGATACTTGCTGTTTTTAACCTTTTATGTTCTCAGTCAAATTTATTTTTAAAAATAGAGGTCTGAGATTCTTCTCGTTAGGTTTTGCTCTGAGTTTATTAGTGTCTTTTGCTTGTTTTGCTCTTCATTTAGCTTGGTGTTAGTGAGGACATGCTCTGGTGTCCTAGGACAAGTTGCTTACTCTTTCAAAATCTGTTTCCTCAGAATTAAAAATTCCATGGTATGATGTGGATTAAAAAGTACGCATTTATACACCACTTACCCTGTGAGCATTTAGTAAGTGATTACTGCTTGTTATTGGCAAATTTATTGCTTTAAAGAGAGCATTTTACTGGGCTGAGCTCACTGTTGGTTCCCTCTGTTTCTTCCTTCAGCCTTTGCCTGCTAGAGGGAGCCCAGGTCATGGCAGCCATACCTCTGAAAGCTCGACACCAGGTGAGCTGTGGATTCCTGAGGTCAGCTTTATGGATGTCTGATTTGAAGGAAATGAGGGGTGGTGGGAGGTGGATAAAGGTGATTCTGGCAAGTCTTAGGGCCAAAACAGTAGGAAAACCCCTGAGCCCAGGAGTTTGAGACCAGCCTGGGGAACGTGGCAAAACCCTGTCTCTACAGAAAATACAAAGATTAGCCAGGTGTGGTGGTGTGCACCTATAGTCCCAGCTACTCAGGAGGCTGAGGCGGGAGGATCACCTGAGCTGGGAGGTCGAGGCTGCAGTGAGCTGAGATTGTGCCACTGCACTCCAACCTGGGTGACAGAGCGAGACACTGTCAAAAACCCTATTCTTTTCTGTTCAAAAAAGAACAACAAAAAAGAGAGAGAGAGAAAGAGAAAGAACCGAAACCAAAAGAAAAAAAAAAAACCCCAAGAAGCATGAGGCTTGGTTGGCAGAAGCTGTTACAGATTGTCTTGGAGCTGTAAAGATGAGCTAAAAGAGCTACCCAGCAGCAGTTTAATTCTAGAAGCATCATTTTCTAGGAAAAGCCATCGAGGAGCAGAGTGGATTGTGCCAGGAGAGTCTGAGCTCCCTCTACAGGATGCTCTTGAGCACAGGCAGCGCAGCCCTTTATACAAGAATCTAATGGGAGTTGGATGAGATAGGCCCATCAGTGCAAACCATGACTCTGTGCTTGTTTCATGGGCATAAGGTTTGGGGCAGGGTGAACACATGTGGGAACAGATAGATTGGCTGGGAATAGGGAGTACCTAATAGGAACAGGTGGGTCCTGAGATACCATTTGAAGCAAATTGTCCACTTGTAGGTATAACACTAAAAGACTGAAAATATTTACTAAATCAAAGAGATTTTTACCCTAGGAAGGTTAACTAATAAGAGACTTTTTTCCTAGGGTTTAACAAATGTTAAATAACATTTTATGACAGTAAATTTTATATCCTAATGGAAGCTTTTCTGGTAGTGAGAGAAGTTCCAGATTTTTCGTTGTAAAAATAGTCATATAATGGTCTAATATCCAGTTCTTTCACCTTTTCTCATTACCCATCCCTCACAGGACTTTCCCTCAAGCCCCTACCTGTCCCCTCTGCCCCACACTCTGGCCCGGAGCCAGAGGATTGGCTCTGTGGCAGCAGGAACCTGTTGTTTTAGGAGATGGTGACCTTCGAGGATGTGGCTGTGCACTTCACCAAGACAGAATGGACTGGCCTTTCCCCTGCCCAGAGGGCCCTGTACAGAAGTGTGATGTTGGAGAATTTTGGGAACCTGACTGCTTTGGGTAAGGCCATTTTCATCCTAGGACTCAGATCTGTACTTTTCCAGTTTCCTTCCTTCTTTTACAGCCTGGGGGGAGGGGTGTGGAGTGGAGAGGAGAGGTTGTCTCTTGTGTCCTCCACTAAGTGACTGCAGAGCTGAGGCTCAGTGACCAACTTCAAAGATTGCTGGGTAGGGAGAGGTCTTGGGTCACTTTGGTCTCTCAGTGAAGGGAATTACTATCCCCTGGTAAGAGTATGTCCCATCTTCCATGGGGCTTCCAAGGTAGTAGTTGTTGTCTGGGGAAGGGTGTGTCCCCTTCCCTGTGTTTGCTTATACCTTGTAGATCTCACTGACTGACTTATCCTTGAGTGTTTTTTTAGGAAGAAGTAACAAATGCTCGGTTTCCTCTTGATCAGAATCTCTTTGGCCTTCTCCAGTTGAGAACCCTCTTCTATGAGTCTTATTCTTACTGAGACTCCTGGGATTTTCCTTCTTTTGACACAGCAGATACAGGGCTGAAAAGTACCATTTTCTTCTGTTTTCAGGGTACCCAGTTCCCAAACCTGCATTGATCTCACTTCTGGAGGGAGGGGATATGGCTTGGGGCCTGGAAACACAGGATGATCCCCCGACAGAGAGGACCAAAAACATCTGTAAAGGTAAGTGAGGCAGATTTAGAACCAACAACTATAGAGTTTTGTGGAGCACTATATTTTAAAATGAACCATGCTGGGCAGGATTTAAATAAAATAGATGATTTCACCTAATAGGTAAAATATGAAACCTTTTCCACCAATCTTAACTCTTACCAACATGTAATCACTCAGTATGTCTCATCTGCAATCCTTGAATCCATTGCTTCTTTCTGAGTTTCAACATTGCCTACCTTAGTTGTCCTCCTTGGTTGGGATGGATTTATTCAGGAGCAGTGTTTGAGCAACTTGCCATGTACCGAACTTTGTTTAAGAAGTTCTGGAAGATACAAGTTATGGAGACAGATGTAAAAAGCAAAAAAGAAAAGTATTAAGTGCTATTGGGAATGGGATGGAGAATGTGAAGGTAAAATGGGCCAGATCTTCCCAAAAGTTGGCCATAAACGGGGAGAGTTGAGTCATATAACACTAGGAAGTCATGGCATGGGAGGAGCTTTTTGAATTCATAGGAATTCAGAGCTGAGCACAGAGTGTGAGATTCCTTTAGAATAGGCAAGTGGTTAACTAGAGCAGGCCATTGAGAAGGTGGGTGGAGAGTCTGAGATAAAAAGACAGGTCTGAAAGGGTACTCTAACACAGCTGGGTTGAAATGACCCCCAGGAAGAAAAAAGGAAGGCTGAATCTTAACCATTAAGGGATATTTAATTTCAGTGAGAGAAGGAAGAGAAAGTAGACAGTCAAATAGTCTGATGGGGGCCACCAAGAGCAAACAGTGAAATTGAAGGCAGAGGCAGGAGTTTCAGAGCAGGTGGTTTGCAGAGAGCAAGTAACATGGAAAATGGTGAAGCTGGCACAGCACTTCAGCCTCTTATTCTAAGAATCTGAAAAAGAATCATCAAGACAATTGAGAACCTGGTGGTCTGTTCTCACATACTTCCTCTCTCTAGTGATGATTCTTTTTCAGACTCTTGATTATCATGTTTACTTCAATCTCAGATTACTCCTCTCCCAACATTCTCCTTCAGGGTTCCCTTACTCACACTTATACGATGAACTTGTTTAACCATCACGTGAGTCCCAGGTAACCCAAATTAATGTTAAAACCAAGCCCAACATTTCATGTAAAATAGATTGACTTTAACTCATTCAAAATGTCATCCAATGTTTAGGAACACAAATGCCATTTTATGGGCTGTTTGTCTCCTTTTTGCTGATAGGAGAAAGAATACTATCAGTCTAGGTGTGTCTAAGTAAACTGTTCATCCCTTTTCAAATAGTCTAGGACGGTAGTTTCTCTGCATGTTTGAGGTTCAGCAGTTTTAGGGCATTTCCTCATCATATGTAGTCCATCTGTGGGTCTGCAGTTAAGAACCTCTGGACTAGGTAATCTTACAACGTATTAAGAATAATGCTCTCTAAGCACTTCTATGTTTTTCTTTTTCTCTGTCTTGCCACAACCCAGTGTCCTTAATATTCAGTGTCTTAAGTCTTTTGGGACATCTGCAGGGTATGAGTTTTTAAAAAGAACAACAATTCATCCTTTGCCTTTGCTTTCTGATTGATGCTGTTCTGTTTCACTTTCTGATGCTGAGTCTTGCCAGCCCCAATGTCACTACTTGTTCTTAAGACCTGTGCCTTTGGCATTTTGTAGGTTGTAAGTAGCATCAATTTGAAAGATATTAAATCATGCCAGGGACAACCAGAAGTCATTCAAATATTAGAGTGGAAAAGCTTAGGAAGGAGTCTCATGTGTGATGTGTCCACTGATACTCTATTCCACCTCGATGTTCTCTGCCTGTGTGATATTTGGCACTTTCATTTTAACAGCCTTTTCTTCCTAGCGTGCTGATGTGAAAGTTGAAATGATCTCTTTTAAAGCCTTACCATTTTCAATGCTCTATTGTTTCTAGTATAGTTCTCAGGTGGCATTATTTGTGTTTTCTATCTCTTATGTCAGATGTTGAGACCAACATTGACAGTGAGTCCACATTAATCCAGGGAATTTCTGAAGAAAGAGATGGGATGATGTCACGTGGTCAGCTGAAGAGTGTCACTCAGAGAACTGACTTCCCAGAAACATGTAATGTGGAAAAGCACCAGAACATCCCCACAGTGAAAAATACCCGAGGAAAGGTTCCAAGAATCCCCTGTGCAAGGAAACCTTTCATATGTGAGGAGTGTGGGAAATCCTTCAGCTACTTTTCTTACTATGCTAGACACCAGAGAATCCACACAGGGGAGAAACCTTTTGAGTGTAGTGAGTGTGGAAAAGCCTTCAATGGCAATTCTTCATTAATTCGGCACCAGAGGATTCACACTGGAGAGAAACCCTATCAGTGTGAGGAGTGTGGGCGAGCCTTTAATGATAATGCAAATCTGATCAGGCATCAGAGAATCCACAGTGGGGACAGACCCTATTACTGTACAGAGTGTGGAAATAGTTTCACCAGTAGTTCCGAGTTTGTTATACATCAGAGAATCCACACTGGGGAGAAACCCTATGAGTGTAATGAGTGTGGCAAAGCTTTTGTTGGTAATTCACCCCTACTTCGGCATCAGAAAATCCACACTGGAGAGAAACCCTATGAGTGTAATGAGTGTGGCAAAAGCTTTGGAAGGACTTCTCATCTAAGCCAACATCAGCGTATTCACACAGGGGAAAAGCCTTATTCTTGTAAAGTATGTGGACAAGCCTTCAATTTTCATACAAAACTAACTCGACACCAGAGAATTCACAGTGAGGAGAAACCCTTTGACTGTGTAGATTGTGGAAAAGCCTTCAGTGCTCAGGAACAATTAAAAAGGCATCTGAGAATTCATACTCAGGAGTCTTCCTATGTGTGTGATGAGTGTGGAAAAGCCTTCACTAGCAAAAGAAATCTTCATCAGCATCAAAGAATCCATACTGGAGAGAAACCCTATGAGTGTAGTAAGTATGAGAAAGCCTTTGGGACTTCTTCCCAGCTAGGTCTTCTTGAGCATGTCCACTCTGGAGAGAAGCCTGTGCTGGACATTTGTCGTTTTGGCCTCCCAGAATTTTTTACCCCCTTTTACTGGTAATAGTACACTCCAGTGAAATGTACTGAGTGGATTCCATCTTCTACTCAGGAATGGAATGTGTGACACAGGCCTGACTCAGCCTCTGATCCATGCCTCAAGCCGCAGTTACTGATTCAGATGTCAGTAGATGGTCCAGTTAGAGTCCCAGGATTGCAAGAGCTAATAGGAAGAAATATTCTCCACACCCCCCCACCCCCATTGGTTTTAACGCTGAGAAGAACTCCTAGACTCTCACAGAGGCTGAGAATGAAGTCCTCACAGCAAAAAAGGCATCTGAGAATTGGAGAGCAGTCAAAGACTGAAGATAATATTTGAACAGCCACATTAAACCATGCCTGAAGCTAAAAATACATACGGGTTTTTGAATTGCAGCAGCCAATAAATTCCATTTTCGTTTGTTTGGTTTTGGCTTTGGCACATTTGAGTTAGGTTTTCTTCCTTTGGAACAGAATTTTGACTTAAACAGTATTGTCAGTGTAGCAGTTGTTTGAAGTCTTCAGGGATAACATACCCGATGGAGAAATGTTTTGTGTGTATGATATGTGGGAAAGTCTTTAGTTATAGTCATGGCAGCTCCTAAACCCCATGATTGTGATGAGATTGGGAATCCCATTGTAACACCGGAGAGCCCAGGTTATATCAGACACCACCAGTAGATAGAAGTTCTAACAACTTGAGCTCTGTAACAAAAATCTCATTGTACTACAAAATTATGTCTGCACCAGTGACTCCATTCTCAGGAAAAGTCTTAACTAGGAAACTAAAAGCTTTCACTCTTAAAGCTTTCATTTTCTGTTTATTCAGTTTTTTATTTGGAATGGATGCTACTCTAGGCCTTAAACTGGGAAATGCCAGGCTATTGTAGCTATTATAGCTTGGCATTTGCCATCTTAATTCCTAGGACAGCATGCCCGCTTTGCCCTTTGCCCTGGCTAGGGAGCCAAGGAAATGCCACGGTTCTCGGTTATAAGACACACTGCAGAGATCTCTCAGTAGGAAAATAGAGCTGGCCCTTTGGTGATGAATGTAAACTGCACCCTTTTTTTCTCACATGTGTCCTTCTGCTGCCAGCCAGTGTTGGAATCTCCCTACCCAATTCCAGACTGACTGACTTACTCATTCTAGCACCTGGGTGACTTCACCACCTCTTCCTTACTTGTCAGCAGATGGATGAGCAGTTGTATCATGTGCTTGGGTTGACCAATGAATGATAGACTTGGGGAATTAAGTAAACACTTTTTAATTGAAGTATAACACAAACACAAAAATGCATGAGTCAGCCAGGCACGGTGGCTCACACCTGTAATCCCAGCACTTTGGGAGGCTGGGGTGGGCGATTCATGAGGTCAAGAGATGGAGACCATCCTGGCCAACATGGTGAAACCCCGTGTCTACTAAAAATACAAGAATTAGCTGGGCGTGGTGGTGCGTGCCTGTAGTCCCAGCTACTCAGGAGGCTGGGGCAGGCGAATCGCTTGAACCTGGGAGGTGGAGGTTGCAGTAAGCCGAGATTATGCCACTGCACTCCAGCCTGGCAACAAAATAAGACTCCTTCTCAAAAAATAAAACCATGAGTCATGGTTGTACAACTTGAATTTTTACAAAGAACATAGCCTTATACTCACCAAGATAAAGAAATAGAACACAGCTCCTTACAAGTCTCCCTGTACCTTATAGTCCTTACAGAACCTGTACCCTGACTTCTGTCACCAGAAATTATTTTGCCTGTTTTTGTTCTTTTGTGTCAATGGAATCATCAGTACAGATTCATTCTCATTGCTGTGTAGTATTCCATTACATGAATATACCACAATTTATTGCTTATTGTTGGTGGGCATTTGGGTTATTTCTAGAGGGATCTTTTTGAAGGCAGAAAATCTAAAAGCCACTCAGAAAAAAAAAAACCTGTTAAAGTAACCATGGTTAGGGACTGCTTCAAATGGTGCTGCATCAACCCAGCTGCCCTGTAGTAAATAACAGCAGATATATATATATATATATATATATATATATATATATATATATATATATATCTTTTTTTGGCACTTAACATGTGACAGAGACTTTCCTAGTCACTACACACATTTACTCAATATGATAACTTTTTGAAGAGTGTGCTATAATTAGCTCCATGTTACAGCTGAGAAGACATTAATTAGGTTTCCTAAGGACACAGTAGTGGAGTAGGTATTCAAACATGGGCAGTCTGGTTTCAGAACTCATGTTCTAGCTGTTGTGCAGTATGGCCTTATAGAAGTTGTATGTAAAGTATGTGACACTGTGTCTTGGTAAAGGAAGAGAGATTGTTGGAAGAAACAGATATGGTCCTTAGGGGTGGAGGAGAATATTAGGATCAAGTCATGATGGGGAGGCTGCATTTGGCTTCACACAATGGGAGGTGGAGAAGTGGCATCAGAGAGGAAATGATAGGTTGAGATAGAATCATAAAATATGTCTAGTACAAACTGTCCCACTAGAGTTGTCATTGAAGGAGGTAGCATGCTTCTTGTAGGGAGAGGATCTGGTTCTTAGCACTGCCTCCCTGTCTTATTGGCTATGTACCTCTCAGCACCGTCTGAAAATGGGTGTCTTCATATCATGTACCTGAACCAGAGAGCTGGCTCCACTGAGGTCCAAGTGAGCTTTGTACCACCCCCCCCACCCACAACCCCACTTCAGCTTTGAGGTGTAGGGATAGCTGAGTGAGGTTTGTTTCCTTTTCTCTGTTCTTCACTACTGAGTAGTTAGCTCCCTTGGCCCCTGACCCCAGTGCCACTGTCAGGAAGCCCCCTCAAATTGAGTAACTGTCCTTGAATCAGTTATGATTAATGTATTAGTTTGCTTTGGCTTAACAGAAATCGATTCTGACAGTTCTAGAGGCTAGAAGTCTGAACACAATTTCCCTGGGCAGAAACAGTTTGTCAGCAAAGCCACACTCCCTCAGAAGGCTCTAGGGCAGAATCTGGTCTTTCTTTAATCTGCTGGTGGCTGCCGGCATTCCTTAGTGGCAACATCACTCCAGTCTCTGCTGTCTTCACATCGCCTTCTCTGTGTCCAATCTCCCTGGTCTCTCTCATAAAGGCATTTGTGATAGCATTTAGGACTCATCCAAATAGTCCAGGATAATTCCTTATCTTAGGACCCTTAATTTAGTGACACCTGCAAGAACTTTGCCATTTAGGGCAACATTCACAGGTTCCAGGAATCAGGACCTGGTATCTTTGGATGGCTGTTACTCAGCCCACCACTGTCACTGAGGTTCATCTGTATATATCAGAAAACCCCTAAACAAGACACCCTAATACAAGATAGAATTTTTCTCAGGAGTCTCGAGATAGCCCAGGGCAGCTAAGGCAGTTCTACAATGTTAGTGGGGACTGAATCTCCTTCCAAAGTACCACTTGGCCATCCTCAATGGGGCCATTATCCTCATGGTCCAAGGTGGCTGCTAGAACTCCAACCATCAAGGGCTTGTTCCAGACAGTAGAGGAAGGGGAAGAAGAGCATGCCACTTTGCCTTAAAGAAGACTTTCTGTAAGTACCACAGAACACTTCCAGTTAAATGTTTATTTCAAGAACTTAGTCACATGACTATACCTGGCTCCCAAGGACACTATATCCTTCAGTTGAGTGGCAGTGTACTACATCAAATAACTTCAAGATTTTGTTTAGGAGGAGGAAGGAGAACAAGTGCTTGAGTGGGTAGCTAGCAGCCTCTGCCATGGCACATGACTGCCATCGAATTCTACATGTCTAAAAGCTTTGGATAAGGAAAAAAAATCGGTGTATAGCTGGCTGTGCTATTTGAATTTCAGTGTGCATAACAACTCTAGGATAGGTGCTATATTTATCCCCAGATTACAGGTTGGCAACAGTGAAATCCAGCAGATTGATGGGAGAACAGAGCAGATGCCTCTGAGATGCATGCCCATCACTTTGGCACACCTCTCGCTTTTGCTGTAGCTGTGGTGAACAGTTGTATGTGAACTTAGATCTCCCCTTGCACTGCTCAGACACTCCACATGCCTTCTGACATTCTGCCTCAGGCACTTTTCCAGAGCTCACTCAACTAGGAAGCACAGCCTGTGAATACATAGGGCAAGTTAGCAATCCCAGAAAAACCCTTAACGATGCTGGACAAGAGCTTGAGGATAAAGGTTCCAGTTTCCCATCTTTCAAGTGGACAATTAGAGGAGGAATTCTTTACTCTTTTCTGGAGGTCCCAGTGCTCATAGCATCAACCTTTAGAACACTTTATATTGTCATTTCCTCCTATCCTGTCTCACTCCTTGGGTTCTTTTAGTCCTGCTTCCTGGGATCATCTCCTGAATAAATGTGCATTCGAGTCCTTGTCTCAAGCCCTGCCTTCAGGGAAACCCAAACTAAAGGAGTGAGACAGAACTTTCAGGCAATAAGAATGTGTCTTGTATTCCAGTAGTGAATATTAGTCTACTCAACTGAAATTCTTTAGATGTTAGAGGATGGCCCAGATGAGCATTTTTGTGATGAAATCCCATTCTGTTTTCAGTGGTGGCTGCATTCTGATTTCTACTTCAGAGAAGCTTCCTCTCAGAGCAACTATGCTGTGGGGCACAAAGTCTTTCTGTGTGTCACTGAAGTGCATAATCTTACATAGACTAAGTTGTTTATATAACTGTAGCTCTGTGTGGCCAGGAGTTAAAACATGGTAAATATCACAGTTATCAACTTGTAAGGAGGACCTGGCAATGCATGTCCCTCAGATTATCAAGTAAAACAAGCACTTGGAGCCATGCAGATAAAATAATCCTTAGAAGTGTGCCACATACAATAAATGGTTTTATTACTCACTTTATTTTTTTTTTTTGGACACAAGGTCTTGCTCTACCACCCAGGCTGGAGTGCAGTGGCACAATCATGGCTCACTGCAGACTTGACCTCCCAGGCTCAAGTGATCCTCGTACCTCAGCCTCCTTAGTAGCTGGGACTACAGGCATGTGCCACCACACCCAGCTAATATATATATATATATAATTTTTTCTTTTTTTTTTTTTTTGAGATGGGGTCTCACTTGTCGCCCAGGCTGGAGTGCAGTGGCATGATCTCAGCTCACTGCAACCTCTGCCTCCTGGGTTCAAGCGATTCTTCTGCCTCAGCCTCCTGAGTAGCTGGGACTACAAGCAAGTGCCACCACGGCTGGCTAAGTTTTGTATTTTTAGTAGAGATGGAGTTTTACCATATGGGCCAGGCTGGTCTTGAACTCCTGACCTTGTGATCCGCCCACCTTGGCCTCCCAAAGTGCTGGGATTACAGGCATAAGCCATGGTGCCCAGCAGTTTATATATTTTTTGTAGAGACAGGGTTTCACTATGTTGTCCAGGCTGATCTAGAACTGCTGAGACCAAGCAATCCTCCCACCTTGGCCTCCCAAAGTGCTG